TATAATAACTACCATGAGTTGACCGTCCAGAGCTTCAGAAACACCCTTAAAGACATATGCTTCAACAAGATTAGGTATCTCAAAATTAACTGCAGAAAAGGGGAAGTGACCGTCACAAAGGTATAGATCAAATGACTTGTAAATGCAACATTTCTAAAACAAGACACTTAAAAAATTAGCGTCAAAATTTTAACATATGAACAAGAAATGTCTTCCATTGCAGACTCTAACTTCATTTCTTTTGAGTTTTTGCTAGAGTTTTTCCCTATTTTCGAACACCCACCCTTCCTTGGATCTCTCTTGTTTAAACATAACGCGCCAGAAAAACAGTTCGTGCAAATACAGTTCCTGTAAATGACATGAAAAGAAAATTGTTCCAATTGTAGAGAGCATAATGTTGCAAACACTCTCTGCAACAGTACCATCTTTTAGGTGCCAATATACAATTGCTTGATAGTTGGTAAACAGAAAACAAATAAAAATCCCAACTCCACAAGCCTAACCAAAAAAATAAAGTCGCCCATTTAAAAAAGTTGGTGATAGATAATGAAAGTAATAGATAGGACATCTGATATTCACATTCCATCATCAAAGTACTGAGAAAGTTAGGGTGGAATTGCCTGTAGAAAGCTTTTTCGAGTTGTGGACATCCTTCTCCAGTAGAGTTGAACGGACAAGAACAACAACAACATCCTTATGCAACCCTGCCAATTAACAGAGTTAAGTACATAAAATAATCATATATGATACATCAATATAATATTTACCCAAAGTTCATTAAAATCGTGGCAATAAGTTTCAGATAAACCTGGGATAGCATCAGAAAAAGATAAATCATTTATCAGATTGAAATGACTGTTCAATACAAGCAATGCTGCAACATCTGCAAGGAAACAAAGAACCAAGTCAGAAAGAAATGTGTAAAGAGGTCATCAAAAGATATAAAGCAAGCATTATAAGTAAGATATACGACTATCTAATACAAGCAATGCCACCTCTTGTATTTATATGTCCAATTGCTATGCACGATGTTTCAATATATAGCCCATAGAGAAGCACTTCCTCAATATCTCGTTCAAACATTAGCTTTCAGGAATAAGATCACGACAACTTTTGTTCAACTTAAGCCAAGAGTTAAATTATATCAATTGAAGTTGCTTTTCATATTTCTACAAAGACACAGATTGCCTAGTTAATGACGAAGCTGTGATTTAGAATCGAGCATATATCCCTAGTCAGTGATTCTTTAAGCTATCCATTCCTTTAAAAGCAAGAATATAGTTAATTTAATCCTTGGCAATTCAAAACTTTCGAAAAAAAGACCATATTGTTTAATGGACTGGAATGGGGAACCAAAATGAACTGCATAGCTATTTTAAAGTGACATATATCAGTACTCCATAAGAATAAAAGGGACTTTAGTTAATATTAAACATGAATATCAATGAAATAAATGACTAAGATCCAACTCCAGACCCAAGTTAAACCATTCGATCTAGTCAAACCAAGGAAGGAAGCCCAACCAAAGATTCTATATTATAATAGAATAGAAATCAACTTAACCAAGCAAACAGTTTACCTTCCCCTGCCTCTACAGTACTGGCACAACTTATTCCCCCTAACTTCAAAAATTTATCTGTCAAGGCCTGATTTATCTGCAGACAGAATAGTAGCAGTTATTATGAACCTATCGCCAATATTCAAATTTAACACTGAAAGATAACCAAGAACAACGAAAATAAATGGCGGGATATCTGCAGTATCGAATATGCTGCTTAGTGTTTTTTAACACGAAACAGTTACTTTTACATATTCAAAAGTTAAGACGTTCGCAGATCATCTTTGAATCTACTTAGAAATGATTTTTTTTAAATGAAGAAGACTTATCAATTTAAATCGGTGAATACATGTATCCCCGGCTTCAATGAAACAGAATAAAATTTCCAAGGTTAAGCGCAATTTTTAGGGTTCGGGAATTATTTTCCAACAGGATTACTGTTTCTAATGTAAAAGCAGATGCATAACAACCCAATTTAATTAGTAGACCAACAAAAAAAAAAAAAGGTTAAAATATGAACATATGATATAACATTCACCGTTTCTTCATGAACGTGGAGAAAAACGACTAAGAGAAATGTAGATTCTCGTCTTTGAGCTTTCAGTTTCCATTACAAGTTCAATATTCGGGATCAGTTCTGTAAGACAGTACATATCACCAAAATTCACAACGACTCTGTTCTAACATCATGCTTTTCCACTCGACAAACTCAAATGGTAACAAAGATGATTGAACACACGACTCTTCATTTCTCCCAGAACTGACACTAATGATATTGAATGCATTCACTTCGGTTCTTCACTCAAACTAAACATCGGATAACAATCGAGAAGTAAAAGTGTCTACGTCTACTCAACAACAGAATCCAAATTGGAAGATGAAATAAGTATAACAAACCCGTATAAGTACCTCATAAGCTTTGACTCTGTAACCGCCACGGATTAGTGAAGTAGCCAATTCGAAGCTCAGACCATCCAAACCAATAAACCCAACGAACGCCATTGATGAGAGAGTTGAGCTGCTCTCAGCTCAAGACTGTGAATCTCCAAGCAGTTGAAAATTGAGATACCAGAAATCAGCACGTTGATCTGCGAGAACGAGAACAAATTGGGCCCTGAATTATTATTTTGTGATCTTTTATTGCTTTTCACCTGCAATTTTATGAATGCTTGCGTGTTACTGACGAGGATTGCCGCCATCGATAAACGAACTAATCTTCGTCAACGTGAGCAAAGAGCAATTTCTTGCTTCAACGCCTTAAAATTTTCTGTTTTTCATGGGGACTAAATTACAAAATAATAATAATAAAGATAATAATATTTAATTAAATTAAATTATAAATTAATTTCGAAATACTCATCTTTAATTTTACATAGATATATTTTTAATAATTGTTTCATATTTCTTAAAAACGTATTTTAATTTTAAGTATAATTTTTAAAACACTATTTTTTTAGTTTTTAAATTTTAACTTAATATTTTAAAATATGTTTAAAAGTAAGTAATGAAGTACGAAAATAAAAAATAGTGATTATAAATTTATTTAAAATAAATAAATAGTTATCAAACATTTCTATTCAATTTAAAATTTATATGTAACAGGCTAATTAATTTTAATTTTTCAAAAAGAAAATAGGTCTTATATTAAAAAATATATATTAGAACAAAAAATTAATATTAAAAATTTCGTCAATTAAAATAGGATTTATTAACTAATTTTGATTAAACCAAAACTAATTAATATGTCACTTTTTGTAATTTTGTGCGTCACTTATTTATATATAAATAATTTAACGATGAGATGAGTTGTAAAAAGGAAAAAAAAAAAAAAAAAAAAAAAAAAAA